ATCAGTGGCATGCATTCCATTACTGCTAATTTGTCCGCTTTTGTGGATTCTTATCTACAAAAATATGCCCAAAATGCACCATCTTATGTTAAAGATACCAAATCATTCCTGCAGGAGATAGAGAGTATCGAATGGGATCTGGAATATAGTTGAGCGACTTTAGATGTCACGTCATTATACACGGTGATTAGTCATCAACTTGGATTGGAGGCCATTGATTATTTCATGACCAGAGATCCTAATCTCTCAAGTGGTCTAAAAACATTCATTTTTTCTCTCTGTTAAATTTATTTTGGAGCACAATTATTTCTTTTTTAATGGAGTTTTATTTACAAATCACGGGTTCTGCTATGAGTACCAGGTTTGCCCCCAGTTATGCCAACACCTATGTTAGGAGATGGGAAGATCTCTTTGTGTGGTCTGACCGACCATGACTGGAGGGAAAACTTGGTGCTCTGGCGACGTTATATCGATGATGTTTTTTATAATTTGGAAGGGGTCTTCTCTCTTTTTTGAGTTTGTAGATTTCTTAAATTCTAACTTATATAACCTGATTTTTACACCTGTATGGAATAACCTCAACATAATTCTTCCGTTAATTTGTTTAGGTCTGCTTTTATGACTCAGTACAATACTGACCATCATAAGATTAGAAAAAGTTTAGCAAACCATTGGTCTATATTGTTACAGGATCCAATACTTGGGGCTCATTTATCCAACTACCCACAGATTATTTACAGAAAAAACAAAAATTTTAAAAATATGTTAGCTGCAAGCTATGCCATTAAAAAAGATTCTAAGTCGAGAGATGTAGGTTTCTTTAGGGGGTTGTAATGTGTGTAAAGTTTGCCGTACGACTTCTATGCAGAGGTCCAATACATTTTCTAGTTATACAACAGGTGACACGTATCATATGAAGTCAGACATAAGCTGCCACATGGACTTTGTTGTATATGTACTCCAATGCCCATGTGGCAAGCAATATGTGGGTCCCACCAAACGAGCCCTTAAAACTCGGCTTTTGGAACATTTAAATAATATTAAAAGAAGACTTACAACCCACTCGGTCCCGGTGCATTGCAATACATACCCCTCTTTTTCTTTGAGGGACTTTAGATGCATGGGCATTGAGAGAGTTTTCCCACATTGGCGGGGTGGGGACAGAGTCCAACAACTTTCTAGACGAGAAACTTTTTGGATCCATAAACTTAGAACACTAGAGCCCAATGGACTCAATGTAGATATTGATTTGGTTTGCTTTTCATAATCTATGTGTTGTCCTGTTTCATCTGTCTGCTTATGTCCTTCTTATCCTCTTGGGAATATATATCCATTTAGGGGTTTTATTTTTTCCCCTTTTTCCCCTTTTTTAATATATGGCTAATTTTGTATATTTTTCTGTGTATTTTTTACTGTGCCTTTAAGGATTAATAATACTTTTGCTCTTTAGTATTTTTCACAATTAAGTAGCTAGTGGTTATATTGATTGTTGCTACTTTTGATGCATATCAATATCTGTACGCTAATAGAGTGTACACCATGATTAAAATGTAGACGTGTATATATTTTATTTTTTTCTTCATTTTCTCTTAACTCTTTAACAATATCTTCAACAAACATCTGTATTGATATCAAATTGTTTAAACAGTGCAATTTTCCACACAAAGATTTATTTGATTATCAAAAGGACTAATTTTTGATAAAATATGCTCTATCAATTCCCCATATATTTGCGGGTGTATTATATCGATTATACTCTGTTGCTGCCAATTTTTTTATTTGATTCCAGACAGGTACATTTACTATCCACACTATGGGACTACTCTCCTGGTGACCACCAGAGGGCACAGCCCGGATATTACACCATTTTCAATGGTGACACGCATGGTGGAACGCGGAAGCTTGGGATTGATGTCACTTCCGGTTCCGGTTTTGCCGATATGAACGTGTTTTTTTCTAATTGAAAAAAAGAAAATAATCCTGAATAGCTGAGGAAGAAATCTGACTGGACCAATGAAGATCAGGAAGACACTCATGAATCTCAATATGGACACAGGGAGTAGCCCTATATATTGGGACTGTGGGGATGGGGGAATTAGGCTGCTTTTTTATTTTTATTGTTATTGTTCTTGCTTTTATTCTATGGTCCCTGAGGAAGTTCATATGTTTGAACCAAACGCGTAGGACCTTTTGGTTCACTATATTTTTATATAACTTTTATAATTATTTGGTGGCATTTCTTCCACTTTACTAATAAAGCTGCAATTTTTTTCACCACCACTGGAGTCCTGCATTGTGTATCCACCGGTGAACAACAGAAGGGATTATTTAGCCCCCCATTGCTATCGGGGGAGGCACCCTAGAGCGCTATTCTCACGGAAGTTTGTGAGTGCACTATATTGATACTATTTGGTCCTTTTAAAACTATATTTCACTATGTATGCTTTTTGTTTGTTCTAGATTTACAGCCGTATCCCAAATTTCTCTGTTGTTTTGTACTCTAGAATAATCCCTAATTTGAATTTTTTTTAGATTTGTAATGTTTTTTTTTAATAGTAATAATACATGAACAAAAATAAATGTCATATATCACTTCTGTTCTCTTCCCTAAAAGAAGAAAAATATCGGAACAGGTTTACCTATTTATTTATTTTTTCTTTGAATTTGAATGTACTGTTTATAAAAAAAAATAAACATTTATAATGCTTAATCCATATTTTTTGTACCCCATTTAATCCTTTTAGGACCAATGATATGTCAGCAATGTCATTGTAATAATGATTTTGCCCCACTGTGCACATGAAAGGGTTAACATAATGAGGATAAGTGATTAAAAGATTGA